GCTTTGTTGGCCGTCCTTTTCCAAGAAACAGAGATGTCTCTTTTTACTGAATCCATCTGCCATAAGTGATAACCAGATGTCTGTGTGATGATCCAAAATTAAAACAAAAGTGCTTCCCCCTCCCAAGACCTAACAGCAGAGATGAGTCCAACAGCCAGCATCACAAAGAATTTCACTGTTTTAATAGCCTCCAAAGGAAAGAAACAAAGCATCTGAGTGGTCTAATGGTTCACCTCTAATGTACTACACCTCACACCACTGAGTCAAGCACCAGCTAGTACTTTTTAAGCTAACTCCGCAGAACAGTGTGCTAAGTGCTTTACACTTACTTTTCACAGCAACCCTATGAGGTAGTACTTATATGAACCCCATTTTGAAGATGAGGAAACTGGGGAACGAAGGTAGTGAAAAAACTTGCTCAAGGCCACACCAACAAGCAGCATCGCCACCACGCTGAACACAGGCAGCCTGTCTCCAGAGTCCATACTCTTAAGCGCTATACTAACCCTAATCCCAAGAAAGCGTAACTGATTTTGATCAAAACTGGTTTTACAGGGCTTCCCTGGTGGCGCAGTGGTTGGGAGTCCGCCTGACGATGCAGGGGACACGGGTTCGTGCCCCGGTCTGGGAGGATCCCACATGCCGCGGAGCGGCTGGTCCCGTGAGCCATGGCCCCTGAGCCTGCGCGTCCGGAGCCTGTGCTCCACAACGGGAGAGGCCACAACAGTGAGAGGCCCGCGTACCGCAAAAAAACAAACAAAAACAAACAAAAAAAACTGGTTTTACAATGAAAATACTTGTAATTTATCAGAAGGAAAAAGGTTAATGCCTGATCTCTGGAACCATTTAGTTAATAAAAACAAATTCTGACTTTCAAAATGTGAGTTCTCACCTAGTGAGTTAAAAAACAAAAACGTATCATGGATCAAGGTCTATGGACAGAAGTCTATGATGGTAAACACAATTATAGTACCAAGAGTCATCCACACATGTCCTGAGAAGACTCCTTCAGATGCAATCTGATTTTCAGTATTCTTTCTTGATGGATGAATACTGCGTGGTCAAAATCGCCAGCCAAAGTTTTGTGCTGCATTTTTTTGGTGAAATTTCAAACAGCTTCATTATGGACTCCCACATGAAGGCTGATTTGAACTGTCCCAGAATTCACCTTGTGTTTTTTTAGCATTTAATGGGATCCTCAGCAGCACACCTTCCATTACAAAACAAGCCATTTAAACCAAATTGTGAATTTTGTCACCCTTTAGTCACAAGATAAGACCAGATAAGTACAATTTTTGATATGACCTGATTCCTTTCCACTAATGACGTACTTCTGGAATCTTGCTTTTTCACAACTGTACAAACACATACACTCCATTTTTCTTCTAAATAAATTGTGTCACAATACAAAAATCAAATTTGTCTACGTGGCCTGGAAAGACCTCAGATAAATATATTCTTTCACCCTTCTGAAATTACCCGAAGTGGCAGTCATGTAACAAGAGCACATACTGTATCAACTCAAGGCAGTAAACCATTATTTTTATTATTTGAATTGGTTAAAAAAAAAAAAAAGCCCTAATCATGTTTGAGAAATTTTGCTGTTTAGAATTTGCAGCCAGTATAAAAAGTTAATTTTAGGCATCAGGAATTAGATTCCTAATTAGATTAGATGCCTAAAGGTTCCCCTCATCCACTAGATAAGTCCCTGAAGTGAAAGAAATGAAATATATATACATCCTTTTATTAATATGTTAATCTTCAAAATACACACATATGCAACATGAACATACAATATGATGGCGACTTACAGTCCCGATGCCCAAGAAACTTCTAATTTAGCAGGCACGATGAAATCCATACATCAATAACTATAGCACCAGGCAGTATGTAATAAAGGATTTAAAATTCAAATTTATGTTTGTCATGTTTTAGTATCTATGCATGTCATTTCTCTGCTATCTACAAGTGCACAAAAAGCACCTGAAGAGAAACACTTCCATCCAGCTTTGTATACCTGCCGTGGCATCAGACATATTAAAGGTACAACAAACATGAGTGTAAATTTCAGGAAATCTTTATTTATTAATTCAAATGTCACAATACAGCTAAATTTTCAAAGAACTACAGGTGTTGAGCCATTGTGGAAACATTCTACTATCAATTCTACAATCAATTTACACTTTATTTTTCATAGCAATAATAATTCATCACATGGTCTATGATGCAACAGAAAGAAATCAATCACCAGTTAATTACGGGCCTCCTCACCTAAAAACAGCACTAATAACCACTCAACTAGATTACACAATATTTGCTGATTTTTAAATACTGTGCCACACCCGTGCTAAGAAAGAACACTCTCCAAAACTATTCAGCTATAGATTTTGCATGTATTCATTCTACCTTACAGCAAACTCTGCACATTCTATATATGTATACATCCACACAAATTTCGACATGACAATTTTCCACATGAAACAAAACTGTGGGACTCACTTAAATTGTTCCCTCTAATTTGGAAAAGTGTAATTTCAGTCAAGTATTCAGATGCAAAATGATCAGAAAAGATGGATGTTAAGAAAAGGATTTTAGAGTACAAATTATGAAAATCTAAGGTTCAATTAAAAACACACAGCAGGCTCTACAATACTCTTTTATTTTTAAAAAATTGACTACATCTCTAATTACAGTGTTACCACTTGGACTTCTGAAACACCTTTTATTCCTAAACGTTCAAATATTTTTACGTGTCTTATTTCAATGCAGTCTTGATTCTTGGTTTAAGGCTCTTATCTGTTGTATTCAGAATAAATACAGAGCATCTGACATGATCACTCCATTTTCCATATAAGGGGAGGGATACAGAAGGAAAATGCAACAGACGAAGTAACATTAATGAAAAGGATATACAGGCCAAGGACATATGTTGAAAATTCCATAAGAAACAGAAATAATACAAATATCACAAAAAATCACTTTTGATTGGGATGTGATTAAGTAAGGAGAGGAACTAAGACAACACAAAACGTTGGGAGTGCTGGAGCAGAGAGCAGGGAAAGCAGGGATTGTTAATAAAGGTGGAAGTCGGGGCTTAAATCCTTTCCCCCATCAAACACAGAAGGGGTAAGGGATAGAGGCAACAGCAAATAAAATCTAAACAAAGTGAGTGTGATGGCAGCCCTGAGACTGAGAGAACTCACTAAGTCTCACACACACTGAGAAAATCCTGGGACTCAACGTCCAATACCCTCAGGTGTGGTCACCCCCCAGAACAACATTCACAGAAGTACAGCTACATGAAGAGATTAAGAAAAAGTCCTTGATTCACTAACCTAAAGATGACAATATTAGGTTTTTCTTCTTAAGAGGTTTAAAATGCAATTTTAAGTTTCCCAATGTTTATACTTCCCATCTTTGTCAAAGGAAACTGCCCACCTCTTTGCACATATATGAAATTCCGTAACAAGAGATGCTGCACCTCAATTCCATGAAAATGCCAAAGTCAAAAACTCTGTTCTGGCATCAACCAATCAAGAGCACAGAGCGGCATATCATTACGAAAAAAGCGGGCTGGGGGACAAGGATGAAACCTATTTGCTTAAGACAAGCCAGACTTAGCGAAAAAGGTAAGGAACAAATAGAAACCGTGGTTGACATCACTGCTTCTGTTATTTATCAATTTTATTTTCATCTTTAATCTTCAGCTTTATATAAAGAGCTTTGTTCCCAGTGGACACAAAAATAGTATTACTGTAGTATGCATACATGGCCGTTTCAGCACGCCACAGGAAAACCTCATTTACTGACCTAGAATGGTTTCGGAAAGCATAAAACCATTAAATAGTTAGAGACATAAGGCTTAAAGAGATAGCATAAACTGGCATTTAACATATCAACTGCGAATAATTCTTTAAACCACAGTGATAAAAATCCTTTCTCGATTTGAATGAACTGCCATTTTCTCAAACTTTCCAAGAGAATGCAGATTGTACTAGAATAGCTGAACCTTCTCATATTTCTCTTTCCCCATTTCCCCAAGGAATCTGTTATTATTTCTTCACACAATAATCACACCAAGCTTGTTTCCGTTTCTTTCCTTGAGCCAGTTTTAAGGCACTGTTCTTAACCCTAAATACACAAGCCTAACGCTGGTTAACTGCCAGTGTCGCTCTGGAACTGCAGGTGACAGATGCAGTCAGAGAGCTCACAGATGTGGATTGGCTGCATCTGAATCCTATCGCAATGAGCACACTGACACAGCCCGCAGATGCACATCTCGGCAGAAGGAGAGAGTTTAAAAACCGTCATTCCCAATTAAATTTACTTTTAGAGCTTCTACTGTCTATCATTAAGCGCTTATCCCGACTCTCAACCCTGCTTAGCCCTACCTACTATCCATTTTATCTTCCTCAGTTCCAGATCCTTCTTCATCAAGTCTATTTCGGTTAATTCTACTACTAATAATAACATAAAGCGAGGCTGTTGGCATTGCCAGAACCAGGAACCGACGAAGGTGCTATTTGGGAGCCGGCCCGCCGCGGCAAAGGCCGTTGGAAGTTTTCTGGGAAGCAACGGACCCGCTAGCATCTTTGCACGATTTCTCTTCCCCTGGGGGAGGGCTCCATAGAGACGGATGGGGAATCTCCCTTCTCCTGTCTTTCCCAGTGGTGGCTAACAGGAAAAATAAAATACCTCTTTTCTTATCCTACACCTCGCTGGATAACGCTCCCAGGCAGTGACGCCCCACCCCCAACCCGTTATCCCTGATGAGACCCCCAAACATCACCCTGTCCTCCTAGGAAGTGGACCCTCCCTCGGCCCCCGGACCAATTTCCTACATCTGAGCGCCTCTCCCTCAGGCATCCGCCCGCACACACCCCACCCGCAGCACGGCCCCGGCTCCGCACACGCAGCCCCGCGCCAAGTCGCCCCGCACCCGGCACTCAGGCAGCTCGGTCGCCCGCGCTCCCCCCGCCCAGGGTCGCCGACAGGGTTACCGTGGGAAGAGCGGGCGGCGGCAGAGGACGCGGCGGCAGCGCTGCTGCCGGTTGCGGCGGGCGCGAAGGATAAGCTGGAGGACAAGGATAATGATGAGGCGGGCGCGCTCCCCAGTCTCCATGGAACTCCCGCCCCGGCCCGTTGCTAGGAGCCCCCGAGGCTCAGGCTCAGTCTTTCGTGCTTTGTTGTTCCGGGTACAGGGCGGCCGCTGCTTCCCCGCGACAATAAATAGACGAGACGCGGGGGAGCACAGAGACAGCGCGCGGAGGCTAGAGCGCCGCCGGACAGGGCGCTCCTGGGTTCCTCGCTAGCCAACCACTTCCGGCTCTCACTGCTCCCGTCACTTTCCCCCGCCCCTTCCTCCGTTTTCCTTTCCTCCTTCCTGGTGCCCAGGTCCGGCCCGGCCTGCTGGAGAGCTTGGCGAGGTGGGGCTGGTGGGTGTGGACTAGGCTAGACTTGTGCTTGAGAACCGCTTGAAAAGATTTCGAGAAAACTATGTATCCCTTGTACATTTTTAGCTGGTAGCTAAACATGTGCACGTAATTTCTGGTGTAAAGTATAATATAAACGGATTTTAGGGTTTTTTGTTTGTTTTTTGCCAAAACCTTGGAACTTTCGTTAGCTCATTCAATTTATAGAAAAGGTTCACCATTCAACATAATTATAGAAGCTAGCCCTAAGAACTATTTTTTTTTCTAATTCTAACGAAGACATTTTCTGTGAAAAAGTCCTACTTCGCTTTTTCGCGTTAATTTACGACTTCGCGATCAAACTCTCATGAATGAATTCTAATCCTAGTCCTAAAATAGAGCGATAGGATATGAAAGATGAAAGAATGGATACACGGGTAAATTGATAGATTAGATAGATAGATAACGCAGGGAGTTTAGGTCAAACTTCTGTCGCCTGTCCCTTCGATATTCCTTACTCAGCTTGGGTTTGCGATCAGGATTCTGCCTTGGGAGCCGGGAGGCACTTCCGAGGCTTCTAAGCGGCGTAGCCGGATCCAAGAAGGATGCGAGAGGTGGGAGAGGAGGGCGGCTGCAGGCTGGGACTGGGGCGCTGGGTAGGAGCAGCGGCGGCTCGGCTCACGTGGAAGCTGGGCGCTTGGGACTGAGACCCTTCCTCGGCTGTGCTCCCAAGTAGCCGTGAACTGACCCGGGGGACTCCCAGGGGTGCACATTCGCCAGTTTGAACGGCTGCGCTGGGGTCCTCGAGGATCCTCGCGGGGTGACGTGAAAGGCGCTGCCTGTGGGAGCGAGACCCGAGTAACGGCCCTGGGAACTCCAGGGAGCGCGGGGCCCCGCGGCGCCCCCAGAGCCCCACTCCCAGGCCGGCATAGGCCTCTGCTCCAGGGCTGGGCTGCAGTCAGAAGCCTCTGGCCCTGGATGAGGCCAGTGGGCAGCTCTAATTTAATAAAAGGCCATGAGGCGGGCTCATGAGTACCTGGCCTCTGATTGGTGTGAATCCTGCATGAAAAATGATAACACCACAGTCCTTTTGAAAAGACTTGGGCTGACTTCTGGGGGATTTGGGAGTAGACAACCATTTGAGTGTTTCACTACTTACGGGGTCTTCAAGGATGCCTCTAGATCTTTTGCTTCCCACTCTGACTGTTCAGTAAAATATCTGATGTTTAAAAGCACTGTAGAATTATGGAACTTCCATTTTGTTTCATTTTCTTTACTAATTTATTTTTTGAATATATTCAATAATTATAGCTTGTATTATAATTATTTAATGAAGAAAATGAACAAGAATATGTGTGATGAAGAAAATGAAGAAGAGGCTGGGTTAGAGAGTAATGTCTGCTGGGTAGTGAGGAGATGACTTTCGGGAAGTAACATTTTAACTGTTACGGGAAGTAACATTTTAACTGTTATCTGAAAGGGATGGGAGTGCAAGGGATGCACATAGTGTTCCAGGCGGAGGGAACAGTATGGGCTAGAATTTGCTGTGCTGGAGTATTAGAGTGGATGGGCCATCATGATCAGAGCTGGGGGTAGAGGACATGAGATGAAGTTGGAGAGAAACTAAGGCCTTGAACGTTCAGTGCCTTGCAGACCATGCAGAAGGGAGTTTGGATTTTCTTTCAAGTGCTAGTGGAAGTGAAGGGGTTTAAGCTGTAGAGTGGCATGGTCTGATTTACCAAGGAAGTGGCAGGGGAAAGGCTCTATCCCAACGATTACTGCCACTGCTGAAAAGTCAGCTTTACAGCAATGGTGACTATGGTCTTTATGAGGCACCCTCCTTGCAGGAGACCAGCAATATACCTGGTATCAAGCATGTCAGTTGCTTTGGACCCCCTTTTGTCACAGATCAGTCCACAATCTGTCTCATTACAGTATTTCCTTATTCTGGAATTGGGTTTGATTTTACTGCAGGCACCGTTCTCCATAGACTCATTGAACGCTTTAGCTCAAACACCATTCCTCTGACCCAGGAATTCATTTCAAGATGAAAGAAGTAAGACAATGAGATAAAGCCCATGGGCTTCACTGGTCTTATAATGTGCTCCATTATTCAAGATCCAGGTAAGATTATAATATTATTCATTATTCAGGTGCCAGGTAAGATTAGAATATACAGCGTATGTTCTGAACCAAGCCTCTCCATTAATACAGAAATTGATATCTAGGCTGGGAAAACAGTAAACCTTATCAGTTAGATATGTGCTACTAAAAATGTGATTTATAGACAAAAGCCAGTTTGTAAACTACTGATCAACAATAAAATAGGTATAGAAATCAAGAGGAGCATTTTGAAACTTTCAATAATCTGACATTACTGTGACATCTAAGCGTGCAGTTTTGTATTTATGAAAACACTTGTCTGTGTTGGGTTGGTAAATAAAAACAAACAAACCAAAACACTGATCCTTCACCACAGTTATGCCCACTAAGGCTCCAGCTTTATGAACTTGGTTAAGAAAAAATCAGGTTATTGGAATATGTTGGCTACTGCTTGTCTCCCTTAGTGCTTTGAGAGAGACAAACTGTGGTTCAGCACAGCCTTTCTGAAGAGACAGGCAATAGTGGGGTGGTACTTAGACAGCGTTGTTAAGAGGAGTCCTTTCTGCCAGTGATTTAGTTATCCCGTACCGGTAGGGATTAGATAATATCTACTCTGCCAATTGAAACAACAAAATTTTCTGCCCCACATAAAGTTAACATGCTAGCTAGGAATGCAGAGTCCCAGCAGAACAGTGGAGTTGGGGATCCTCATTTCTCAGGATTCTACTCGAATATCCCCTGCTGTACACTCTGTACACCAGCTGAAAAAGTAATTCCTCCCATTATGCCAGTTGAGTGGTGTGCAACTTAAAGGACAGAATGTGATACTGTAACCTGGCTTTATGACCCCAGCTGTTCCCTCCCTCTGCGCTCAGATAGCGTAGTGTCTGTGGCAAAGACAGAGAACTAAGATCTAGGGAGAATGATACAGAGGCCAGGCCAGTTTCCAAGGGAGAGAAGCAGGAAGGGCAGAGTCCATATTCAAAGCTTACATTTCAGTGAGATTTCTGTTAACAAGCTAATGGATTTCCTCCAAATGACACTGTTTGAAGGTATAGCCAGAAAATCCTCAGCCTGGCAGAAGGCATCTCCTGGTATGCTGTCTCAAAGACAATGTCCCAGTCTCTGTCTCTGTAGAAAGATGAATTCGCTTGCTGGGGCAGTCCCAGGAGATTCCTTCTCACTATTCCTCTAAGGCAGGGTCTTTCAGGATAATAGATAAAGGAAATCTTGGCGCTTTGATTGGCTCACCAGATATCTCAGTCCTCTGCTGGAGAAGAGAGGTGCTTCTTACCCTTGTTACTCTTGTCCACCAGGATACGGTGTAATCTCACAGCCATCACGTATTGCATCTCCTTTTTGCCGTTTCTCGTTAGTTTTTGTTATCCCATCTTCCACCTCCTTTATTGTATACTTGTGCATTGGGGAAAACTTTATTATTCATCCTTTAGCTACATTTGGACCCGATCAAGATTGACTACACCCAAAGACCCTGAATTTGGGCTGGGTATGACTGAGTTTTCGCCTCCCACTGGGTAGGGATTGAGTACATTGTCAATTGTGTATGGATCATTGCTTTATGTTAAGAGAAACTATAGCTATGGAGAAATCAGTGTGTGTGTGTGTGTGTGTGTGTGTGTGTGTATGAATACACCGAACAGCCAAGGGTGATGTGAAGGGAACATTTATTGTTTTGTCAACCCAGAGCTCCCCTCTTACTTTGGGAAGAATACTCTTCCCTTCTATTTGGGGCAACTACTTCTACTCTTTATCTACCTCCAATCTAATATGTGTCCAAATGGGACATGCAGTAGCCACAGTGATCGATAGAGCAATGGGTTTCTGAGCTGAGCTAAGGCAACTATATAGTATCTGTACTGTAATTGAGTTATGGCTCTTCATTCCAAATTCAGTCTTTGTGCCTGTTCTGTGAAGGTAGATCTCGACCCATTGAATATTCTTCTTTTGTTAGTTATCACAGTGTTACACTTTGTCAGTAGAAAAAGTGCTGGAGCAACACTGAAGGAGGAAAAGGTTTTGCTTCCTGGTTCCAGTGTGCTTCCCTGCCAGGCACCTGAAGCATGGAAGGTTTTTCTAGAATCCACCTCCTGCGGCACAGGTGGCTTCCCCAGCCCCACTCAGGGGTCTGAAGGACAGTCAGTGGTGAAGGAAAATCTTCTAAGTGGGCATAATTCAAATAGTATATTTGTTTATTCACCATGTCTGGAGTGAGGGATGACCAGAATGGGCAGTTGCTAATGGTTTTTCTAGATGGAATGGGATTGGAAGATTGGAGATGAGGAAGTATGGGGAAGAGGTATATGAATGGATTTCTCTGAATGGTCACAGACTGTGAAGATATCTGTGTCCTATCTGAATGCACATTAAAGGTACCCACTGTAGAGGAGACTCAATAATCAGGTGGATAAAATGGTGCACTCTGTGGGTGTCAGCCAGCCTCTTTGCCTAGCCACCCCAGTGCTTGCTCAATGGGCTCATGAACAAAGTGGCCATAGTTGTAGGGATGCAGGCTGTGCATGTGCTCAGCAACCTGGATTTTCCAATACTAAGGCTCACCTAGCTGATGCTACTGCCAAGAGCCTAATTTTGCAAAAGCAGAAAACAACATTGACTCCCTGATACGGTCCCAGTCCCCAGGGTGATGAACCAGCCATCTGGCAGGTTGATTACACTGGACCTCTTCCATCATTG